CCCTGATGCTCTCGACCTCTCGAGCCCAGCCAGAGCCTGCGGCCGCTTTTCCTCTCCCAGAGATAAAAGGAGCCTGGTCCTTCCCGGGGGATCTTTTCCCCCAGCTCTGGCAGCAGACGGGGGTGCCACCAGCCCCGCAGTGCCCCAGCGAGCTGCTCTCGCTCTCACCCTGGCCACTAGCCCCTGGGCTCCAGCCAGGCTGGGATGGGGTTACCCCCTCCCCGCCTTCCAGCTGCACCGCGCTCTGAGGTTTCCTTCCCCGCTATTTCCCTTTCATGCTCCCTGCAGCCTCATGTTGGAGCCAAACCTCTGCCCGGCACCGTGTCCCCCACACAAGGCTGGGCTGGGTCCCCAAGGCCACCCCCCAGCCCTCCACCCTCCCACCCAAAGTCTTTCCAGGACTGGGGCAGGATCCCCTTTCTCCCAGCTTTGCCCCGTGGGGGGTTCCAGCCTCCCTGGGGGTTCAGCATCTCTCCCAGCTCCGTCCCTGCTGACCAGCAGACCCCAGGAAGGCTTTGACTTCTTCTAACCTCCCCCCCAAATCCTCAGTCCCCCCCAGGCTGTGCAGGGAGCTGGCGGCTCTGCTCCGGGTTAGAAATCTCTGTGCTTTGGGAACTCCTTCGCGTTGTCCCTTTGGAGCCAAGAGCTCAGCCTGGCATGGGGGGGTGAGCGTGGGGCAGGGGGACATCACTCAGCGCTGCTCCATCGCCCCGGGTGGGACGGGGATCTCTGGGACCCGGGGGTCAATGTGGGGGGACCCCGGGGGTTACATCAGGGGGTCGGGGTGTGATGTGGGGAGCCGCCTGCTCCCGCTGTGGAGTTGCAGCGATCCCCGGGTATCCCCCGAGCTGTGGGGGGCGCTGCCCCTGAGGTGGGTCCGGGCCTTTCCCTCTCAACTGGGTGTTTTTCAGGAAGCTCTCCAAGAAAAAGCCTGGGATGTGCTGGGTTTTCTGCGGTGTGCAGGGGTCCGGCAGCATTGCCGGGGGCGGGGGGGGGCTGGGGGGAGAGGGCTGCTGTGCGACACCTCCATCCCATGGGGACAAGCAGGGGCAGTCACTGTCCCCTGCCCTGCTCGCCCGCTCCCAGCCCGGCCTGGCCTCTGGCTCAGGGTAACCCCGGTCCCTCCCGAGCCTGCAATTTTCCCAGAAAAGGCAGATCTCTTCCCAAACTGGGCCTCCATCTCCCTCGTGCAGCAGGATGCGATGCTGCCGGGGGGCGCAGGCAAAGAAAGAAATCAGCCCCCCCGGGAGAGGAGGCTTTAAACCAAGGGCTGCAAGAAATCACCTTTCTCACTGTATTCATTTAAATAGGCAGCAGAAGGCATTGTCTGCTGCTTGAAAAGCTGTTTTTCTTAATTGCCCCAGCGCCGTGTATAATCCCAGATTACTGAGGGCTGAGCAAAGTCTCCGTGGCTACGGGAGCTGAGCGTGGGCTTTACAGGCAAATTAGTTTTGGCTCTTCCCTGCCTGGGAGGCGCGTGGGGATTCGCTGTGGACCGAACATGCCGGGCTCTGCCACGGTACCCATGGAAGATGTTTCTGTGGGGCTGAGCCAGCCCTCCTGGGGGGGGTCACATCTCCCAGCTCCCAAGTGGTGGCCCCTGTCAGGGTGTCTGCGGGATTTACGCTGCTATAGGTACCAGGAGGGGGTGGTCCCATAGGTGCTGCTGGTGGGGTGCGTCTGGTTTTCCCCTGGGGAATCTCCCTTCGGCGCGTGGCAGCTGAGTCTTGTCACCTCCCGTGAATCCGGGAGCTGGGACTGGCTCTGGTGCTCAAAACCTCGGGATAGAACCAGGCTGCGGGGTTTGTCCCTCATGGTTAAGCCCAAGAGAGAACAAGAGCAGCAGCGTGGCCTTCCCTGAAAGAAGGAGCCCGCAGGGTTGGGGGGTTCAGTGTTGCTTCACCACCGCAGAGGGGACGGTGCAGGTGTCCCTGGGCTCTGCCCGCGCTGTCCCCTCTGTACCAGGGTAGGGCCCAGCCAGCGCAGGAGCAGCTGAAGGCTTTGGGGACATTGAGCTGTGCCTCCTCCAGAGCCGGACAGGCATGGGGGACCGTGCACCACCCCCCCCAAGTCCGGCTGCCCACTGCCTTCCCCGCCGCAGGACGGTGCCTGGTTGTGGTTGCTGCAGTGCAGCCGGAGGCCAGCCCTTGAACCTTCATCCTCATCCTCCCCGGCTGCTGGAGGCGGCTGCAGGCAGCGCTTGGTCTGGGGGGGTATGGGGAGGGGGGGCTTTGCTGAGCCAGCACCTGGCTGGGATCCAGCTGTGTCTCCCTGGGAGACACCCCCTGCCTTCCTCCTGCCCTCCTCCTCCTCTTTGCCCAGTTTGGAGCAGCCCGGTGTGAGCACGCATCCACTCCAGCGCACGTCTCAGCTCAGTAAGTCTTATTGAAAACCGTAACTGGATTTTGCAGACTGGGCATAAAATACCTAAAACATAATACGTATTAAAACTCATTAGGTTAAGCCCATTTACAGACACACAAGTGTCATCTGAATGAGGTTAAATCACCTTTTCCACAGGGCTTAGTTGTCAAAAGGGTGCCACGGGCGAGGAGGGCAAGGAGGGGGAGAGGGAGCGGCAGCCCGGGGCTCATCCCTTAGCGTCACCGAGACCTCCCCGGGGTCACCTCTCCCAAATACCAACGTATGTCACCACCGACACAGGCTTGACACTGTTCACATCCAAATGGAGCTCCCGCTCAGGCCTGGCAAGGAAAAATGTGAAAATCACGGGGAAATAGAGGTTCCTCAGCACTGCACGTGGAGATGGGGCAGCCGCCGGCAGCAGGGATGCTCGGGGAGGGATGTTTGGGGATGTGGCAGGAGAGGGTTGAGCTGGGTTATTAGTTTCCGTTGCTGAAAGCACAGACAGATCCTGCCCCCTCCCCAGCGCCCACCCCGTGCCTGGCTCTCCAGTGCAATTAGCCACAGCAGCTAACGAGGGAGCTCCCTGCTCCTTCCACAAACACGCTCTGGCCCGGCCAAAGGAAACCCGGGTGCTGGCAGATGGGATAACGCTGACGGAGAGAGTCAGATAACACCCGGGCTTGGGATTGTTGCCGATTAATTAAAATAATAATCACGCTGTAATATAGGGTGCATTTCAGCAGCTGGGATGGGGATACTGGGTACAACGGCTGCAGCACCTCTGCCCTGCCAGCTCATTTAAACCACCCCACCGATCCCCCGGTATCCTCCGCCTGCCGCGATCTCCGGAATACACAACTACTTCCTTCTCTGCCCTCGGCATCGTGGCGTGTGTTGTTTTTTTTTTTTTTAAATGATTCGTGGCTTGAAACGTTTTTCTTTATGAGCCACTTTCCCGCTTGCAAGGGGAATTCATCCTACAAGGAGGCTGGAAGGGGCTTTGATGTAGTTGCCTGTGGAAGAGCAGAGCGCCAGTCCAAAAAAAAACAAAAAAAAACCCAACAAAAAAACCAACGTTTGGGCCATTGTAAAGCAAAATAACATGGGAAGTGAGCAGAGCCCCGAAAGCTTCTGCATGCTGCAGAGGTGGGATTATTTGAAAATCTGTGGCCTGAAGGCGACTGCATTTCTTTGCTTTCACAGGCTGGATGACCCCGCTGCACCCTGGCTTGGATTTGTTTCCTTCTGACGGCTGCAGGGTCTGAAGGGGGACGAACATCCCCT